CGTGGCGGGAGCGGGCGGCCTGGCGGTGTCTCTGCCTCCCCCCGCCGGGAGGCCGGGGCCCTGGCCAGCCACGCGGCACTCTTTTCTAATATTTGTATTCTAATTTAATTGTTTTTTAAAAATGCAAATAAATAAAAAAAAAAAAACAAAAACAAGAGTAGCTGGTCCCCACCATCTGTGGTTTTCTGTAGCCCAGGCTAGCCTGGCCGACGCTGGGAGCTGAGGGCTGGGATGGGCTTGTTGGGTAACATCACTGTCACCAAAAGGCCCATCAAAAAGTTAAACATGGGCAGGCCCCTGGGTGAGTGAGTACCCGCCCACACAAACTGTTACAGCTGTCTGGAAAACACTGGACTGAAGTATCCTAGACGCTCACTCACGTGAGGCAAGGCTCAGACAGACCCGCAGAGTGCAGGCAGTGTGAGGGCATTGTGCTCAGAGGGACCCATGTGGATGAGCGGGTGGGCCGCTCGAGGACACAGTGCCATCTGGATACTGACAACCTCAGTGTGAGTGAGTCCTACAGGCAAGCATATGTGAGCGTCGCACCCCCTGGACCAGAAGCCTGCCCTGCTCACCCCAGCTCTGTGGCTTCAGCCCACTGGCCAGGAATCTGGGAATGGGTCCAGCAGGTAACCCACCAGGACAGAGGCTCTACCCCTCAGAGCGGTGGCTGTCTCCCGTTGGCAGACAGGTGTCCACGGTGCACAACTCAGGACCCAAGAGCACCTCACCCATCTATGGCATCACTGTTCTGGACACCACCTCCAGGACAGCTAGAGGCCTTCGGCAAGCCCAGAGGTGGATGCTGAACCCCACGCCCACCCCATCCCCTTTCCCCAGTGACAGGGCCCCAAGCCCCACTTCCTCCTACGGACAGGAAGTTGTCCACAGCCAGCTGAGGTTTCCGGCCCCCTAGGCCTGATAAGGTCAATGGAGCCCAGATGGGGACAGCACCGTGGTAGGGGCCATCCTAATGTCCAGCAACACCCCACCAGGGCCTTCAGTGCCCAGGATTCTGAGGTCGCCAGCACAGAGGGCCCAAGGGTCACCTCCTTTCCCAGGAATGGCCTGGAAAGACACCACCATCCACCCTGGGACCCGCTGGGTCCTTCTGCCAGGCTCCACCCACAGGGCATGTGAAACTAGGCAGAGACTGGATGTCTCAAAGACATCACCCCAAAACAAGACAACACAGAGACCAGGCAAGGAGACGTCGTAACAGGCTGCATTTAGTGGTTGGGTTTTCTCTTTTATGTACAAGAAAAATGAATTCTATTTTTTCGGATTTTTCATAATCTTTTGCTTGTTTTTTATTACTTTTAAAGCTGTCCCCCCACCCCCAAAAAGTGCATTTTAAAAAAAATCAATTGATTTGTTTTCGTTCTGCCTCCCACACTTTTTATAAAGATTCTTACATCCAGTTAGTGGAATGTCTGTTCTGTGTTCCGGACCCCTACGCACCAGGCCTGGGCCCCCAAAATCCAAGGCACCTCGTTCTGGGCCTGGGGTAGGACTCCCCTGGCCCTCTGTCTCCTGAAACCCCTCCCCCCACCAAGGTAAGTAATTATTTAGTGCGAGCTAGTTCTGAACTGAGATAATCGTTCCTGGGGTGAGGAGCCCCCCAAGACCCCTGACCCGTCCGGCGCCAGCCGCCCGAACTCCGGGAAGGCTGTTCCTCAGCTTAAATAACTTTTTAAAATAAAATTGCAAATATAAATATCTTTCTTTCTCAAAAAATAGGAATTTGCTCTCTTTATTTTTATTTTTTTGTCGGTTTTTGTCTTTTTTTGTTTTTTTCTGTTTTTCCTTTCAGTCTGTGCCCCCCTTACAATCCCTGCTACTTGCACTGTGGATATCCAGGAGTCCCTGAACAGCCAGCCTGGGGTCCGCCTGTACCGCAAGGCTGCTGTTGTGCCTGTCACGGCAGCAGCACTCCCTGGCCGCCCACCCAGGAGGTCCGCTGGAGCACCCTCAAGGAAGGTCAGCTGTGTGCAAACAGGATGACAGGGTGTTGGCCACTGGGGGGGGGGCCCCCCCACAGGAATGACCACCCCAGGGCATCCACTTTGGTTCTGCCCACTTGAGCCCAGCTTGGCGGGGCCATGGCTGAGCCAACTCTGCCATTTACATTCATTGGTTTATATATATATATATAGATATATATAGATAGATTTTTTCATTTTTATTATTTTTTTGCCTTTTTATTTTATTTTTTCTTAATCTCGAAAGGCCGGTAGGGGTAGAAAGGCAAAGAGCAGCAACTACTCGGCAGGGGTGGCCTATGCTCAGGTCACAGGCTGGGGACAGCTGCAGGCCACATGCCCTCCCCAGTCCTGGGGTCCCCGGAACCCCCCAGGCTGGGCCCTCTCTCACTGTCTCACACACTCAGACACACAGAAATTCACCATAATGGGATTAACAAATTTGTTGTCTTTTTTTTCCGATTTCTTTTCTTTTCTTTTTGTTGTTGGTACCAGGCATTAAAAAAAAAAAAAAAAGAAAGAAAAAAAAACAAAACAAAACAAACACACACACACACTAAACCCTCAAACAAGCAAATAAAAACCCTTCTACAGCACCCTCGTCCGCTCAAACCTCTAGTGAATTCCACAATTCTCTTTGGCAACTTTTATCACGGCCTTAATTTAAAGAATAAAAATTTGTAAAAATCGATCCACATTCTATATACAGTATGTGATTGCAGTATATGGGGAGCAGGGAGCGGCCTTGGGGGGTGTCCCAGCACTGGGCCCATGCGGTGGCTGCGGCCCCCCAGGACGGGCTGACGGTTAAGGCAAGGTGGGTGTGGGTGGGCAGAAGCTGAGCGCAGAGCTAGGGGCAAGGGGTTAGTGCAATTCCCGGGGGGGGGGGGGGTGGGGCTGTCGCTGGCGGGCTATGGGGCACCCCCACCACAGTCCCCAAGGGCTCCACTGGCCCCAAGTCTGGTGGCCACTGGCCAGGATGACGTGTTATTGCGCGGATGGAGGAATGGGGGACTGCGGGGCCCTGCTCGGTCCCCGTGGTTCCCGGGACCGCTCGTGTGGGAGTGGGGTGCAAGGGAGGCCAGCACCACTCCGCCCCTGGGCCTGCCCTTCTGCTGGCCCCAGGGGGATCCTGAGACATCTGGGGGAACTCGCAGGATGGGAGGGGATGAAAAATAAAACCTCTCTGCTAGAAACTGGAAAGCAGCCTTCTTACGGGGCTTCCCTTTAAAACCAAAGAAAAACTCATTTTGTCAACAGACGGGACACAGGGACACCTCCATGTGCACCGGCCCCTGGCAGCGATGTCCCCCAACCCTGGCCCCTGTCCGTGGCCTGTGGCTCGGTCACACCGGGCCTTTGGGGCAAGCCGGAGTTGGGGGTGGTCAGGAGCCAGTCCCTGGGTTACAGTCAGTGCCTTTGAGTAAAAAGAGGGGGTGCCTAGGAGGGACCACCACAGGGGGAGGGGGCCAGGCAGGGGTAGCAGGGTCTGGCTGGCCGGAAACCAGCCCTCTCTCGGGGACATCCCTGAGCTGGGAAGCAAACTGGCGAGCCGGAGGGGACAGCGGCTGCCCGGGCCTGTGGTCTCCAACAGAGAAAATCAAGTGAGCTGGGGACAGGGAGGGGCCTGGCAGACTCGGGACCCTAGGTCCCTTCCCACGGAGGGTGCCTCCCCGCCCAGAGCCTCGGGAACACACGTGGATTCTACCGGAGCAATGGGTTGGGTTTCTTTTATTTTATACAAAAATAAATTGACTTACTTTCCACTGCTTGCTCGCGCTCTCTCTCTCTCTCTCACTCTCTCTCTCTCTCTCTCCAATTTTTCATAGAAGCTGGGTGCAACTTGTAAACATTTCTTAAGTTAAGAATGAAAAGTACCCGTTCAGTTACAAAGTGCCAAGATCCCCATGTGGCTGTCGCAGCTTTTGTTCATTTTTTTTTTTTTTTTTTTTAAGTTTTTATGTTCTGCATTCGTGTTTACTAAAATCCTGGGGTTTTATTGCTGTTTTGTGATATTAAGCTGTGGCCTCTCTTGCCCCCTCCCCTGTCCCTGCCTGAGTCCCTGGGGTTCCCTCTGATCTTGGCTACATTCCCCCAAACTGTCGCCGGCTCCTCTGAGAAAAGAATATTTTATATATATATCTCTCTCTCTATATCTCTATATAAACTGTCTTTAAGGAGGAAAAGGGGAAATAGATCTAAAAAGTGCTTTAAAAAGTGGGGCGCGGGGTGAAGGGGACAGGTAGCGGAGACGGGAGGGTGGGGGGTTACCCCGAGCAGTGGCTCTGAGGACCCCGCCAGGAGTAAGTGCCGTGAAAGAGGGTAGCGGACCCCCAAATCCCAGCTCTGCCACCCAGATTGGGAATAAATAGACTTGTGTATAGGTGGTGGCCAGGGTGGGGTGTGCAGAGGTGCGAGGCCACAGGCGGGACGGGAGCAGGGAGGCCGAGGGGACACCCCCCTCTTTAGTAAGTGCCCTGAGGAAGGAGGGTGGGGAGCCGGGGACCATTTTAACGTCCACTTACTGTGGACAGAAAACATTTAAGGTCTTTCTGAGAACCCTAAAACCAACCAGCAAGGAGCCGGGCGCCTGTCCTGGGGGTCCCCATCACCCTCACCTTAGCCAGGAGCAGGCGGGGGACCTCCGGGGTGGGACCCCACGCGGACGGGGCGAGGGCGTGGGAGCGGGTGGGACCATGTCCTAAGAATCTGAGAAAGGCAGGCGTGCCCGCATCGGCCATGGATATATACACGCACAAAGATCCGCGCGTGGATGGATGGAGGGCGTCTGGACAGACAGCTGTGGTGCTGGGGTGGGTGTGGTTTCTCTCTGTTTTCTCTTAGTTTGTTTTGTTTTTTGGTTTGTTTTGTTTTGTTTTGA